TCAGAGGCAAATATTTAAATCAGTGGATTAGCTAATAAATAGTTCTGAGACAACCAGCTAGGTTTTCTTTTGCTGAGGAGGGTAGGGGGAGTATTTGGGAGACAGCCAGATATCTAGCTTACATTTTATGTCAGAATAAATTTCCAGTGGATACAAGATTTAAATATACAAAAATAAATCATAAAACTGATAGCAGAAAACATGGAAGAATCTTTTTACAATCTTGGCACTAACTGTACACTAGGTAGTACTGTAAGTACTTTATATATGATAACTAATCCTCACAATATCTAAGAAGTAGACATTATTATGATCCGTATTTTACAGATGAGGAAACTGAGGCATAGATGGGTTAAGTGTGTTGTCTGAGGTTGTAGGCGAATAGGCAGAAGAGAGGTGATTTGAACCTCAGCAATCTGGCTCCAGAGTTTGTGCCCTGAACGACTACACTACCCTGCTTCTGTGGTGCCCTAGGTTAGAGGGTATATGCAGTGCCCTCTAATACACCCTCGTATGTGCACAGATGACGTTTGATCTTCTGAATTTAAAAGTATAACTAAAGTTTAAAAACAAAGCAACAAACTGGGAAAATATTTGCAATATATATTACGGACAAGGGACTGAATTTTTAAAATATATAAAGAACTCATACAAATCACTACAAATGAACAGAAAGTAAAAAAAACAAAGAGAAAAAAAGGCATGAACAAGCAGTTTACTAAAAAGAAATGCATATAAGTTTATGCAGTGTCACTCATCTTGAAAAAGTGCAAGTTAAAACAAATGTCAAGATGTAATTTTTACTGACCACACTGTCAAATTGTGAAAAGGTTAGTAATACTGAATGTTTTTTTTTTTTGAGACAGAGTCTCACTCTTTTGCCTGGGTTAGAGTGAGTGCTGTGGCGTCAGCCTAGCTCACAGCAACCTCAAACTCCTGGGCTCAAGCGATCCTCCTGCCTCAGCCTCCTGAGTAGCTGGGACTACAGGCATGTGCCACCATGCCTGGCTAATTTTTCTATATATTTTTAGTTGTCCAATTAATTTCTTTCTATTTTTAGTAGAGAGGGGTCTCGCTCTTGCTCAGGCTGGTTTCGAACTCCTGAGCTCAAACAATCCGCCCGCCTCAGCCTCCCAGAGAGCTAGGATTACAGGCATGAGCCACCGTGCCTGGCCTCTAATTGCAATTTTTACAGAGAAGTACAGGACCAAGAAACTCTTCGTGCTCAGTAAGGGCCCAAAGACAGCAGACCATAATAGCACGCATGTGACAAAGTCTAGGGGTCCTGTATGCTTCATGGAAACCACAATTTATATTGCCAAGAAGTATGGGATATTAGGCCTTTCAGGGTTATGGGGAACGCTAATCCTTAACATCCGAACAGTGCCCCGAAGTTTGCAAAAGTGTTTTTACACAGGCTGTGTGACTCAGTCTTCCCGACAGATCTTTGGAGTGGGTAAATTTCATAGGTCTGATTTTATAGACACAAACACTGGGCATAGAAGGCTTGTGCTTATTCTTCAAAGCCATCAAGGAGTGAAGCAGCGAACTAGAATGTGCCAGCCTGGGTTCTCACCAGGACCCCACACTGCCCTCCAAGGCATGGCCTACGCCACCCCTGCCAGGAAGCCCGGTCAGCTTGCTCTTGTTCTCTGTGTTTATTTGCACGCTGCGATGCCACTGAGCTGGAAGAGTTTAAAAGCAGAGCACGGCAGTTGCCACTGTTTGCTAAACATTGCCTCTTGGAGTGGGCAGAAAATAGCAGCTTGAGCCCTTCTTAGTCATCTGGAACAGTATATCAAAGGCACAGAAATAGAGGAAAAGCAAATCTTGTTTATCTGAAGGAAGGAAGCTACTGCACAAGCCATGTTCTCTACTGGCGTGGCTGTTCTTCCTTAGCTTTGTCCTACTTTACGCTTTTCTCCGGGAAGTTCACAGTGACAATAATAATACGATCTTCCTTGAAGGTCTTACTGCAACCTTTCATGTGAGACATCTTTCCCTTCCTAAAGCTCTCCATTAAACTACCCATATCTTATATGTCATTTCTATTTGCTTGCACATAAACCCTATATAGAGGAATTACAATTGTGTGACAATACATTCCACTTACTAAGCACCTATTATCTGCCAGACATTGCGGTAGGCACTTTATATTGCGTGTATTATCTCACCCTTACAGCAAACTCTACAAGGTATAGCTCCTTCCTCCCACTTTGCAGATGGAAAAACCGAAGATGAGAGTGACTGAGTCTGATCTTCAGCAGTGGGATTCAAACATAGATCTGTCTAGCTTCAAAGCCAAGGTTTCCTCTGCAGTCCAGAGCGTACCAGTAGTAATGCTTACTGTCTTAGTGTCTGAAAGAAGGCATTTAGTGAAAATGTTCATTTTTAAGTCATGGGTTTTAATAGTCAGCATCACACTCTTTTTTCCTCAGCGCTTAAAAGGTGGGTAGGTTGTCTAAGGTGATGAAATTCAAACCTAATCCAAACGCAGCGTTCTCGTATGGTATCCCTTACCAACCTACGGAGAATTGCCGCATATAATGGACGCTTCTGTTCTACTGCTTTCTCCACCTGGTCACCCCTCAAATGAAAACAAAATTCATATGATCATTGAGGTCTAGAAATTAACTTTTATTTTAAATCTGTCAAGAACTCCTGGCAGTTATTAATTTTATTAAAACGATTACATATGGCAAAACAAAGAATAGAGGTAATTCTATTTCTCTACAACATAAATTATGAGTTAGATTCTCAGCTGCTGGCTCACATTGTTCAAGATTCTTTTAAAGGATTGGGGGGGATTTTAATATCCAAAAAATGTTAAAGCAGCAAAAGAAAAAATAAATTAAAGTAATTGCCATTGGAGATATTGCCAAGGATGTGCTTATTATAAAATCTTCTTGACGTGTTCATTATAAAATCTTTCAAGCTTTGATATTTAAAAAAAATTATGTGAATAGCTGTCCTATATTGGCTTGTCGCCTATAGTTTATAACACAGAAGAAATTTGCTGATTTAAAAAAAAAGATGGCAAAAATGAGTCATGACTAATTCAAATAAAATACAACCAGCATTCATTCATCTAACTGAAATATGTCAAAACAAAAACATTTTTATTAACACATTTAATACCAGAATAACTTATAATAGTATGAAAAAGAGTGAAGTACTTGTCTTTAGTTTTCATTGACATGCTCACATTTTGGCAAAATTGTTTTGCGAAGATTCCAAAGTTTTGGGATCTCTAACTGCTTAAGGATATAAACCAAAAGAACTCATACTTCATCTGATCATACAGTCATAACTTATACATCTTGCTTTGCGCTTACTGTTACTGCAAACAGCAATTTAGAAAACAAAGTAAAAATATACATATATATATATACACACACACAAAATATTTCTATACCAAATTATCTTCATTACACTAAATAAACCCACTCCCCAAATGCTATGTTACATGAAAAAGTGTCATACAATTTATATCAAGACTGATACTGTCCATCACTTAGAGCAGCCTTTGGTTTTAAAAGCATTTTGCAAAATAAAGAAAAATGTCACCACATGGCTGCACTATTGGCCCTTGTTCACTCACAAAAATGCTTTCCAGTTTAAACAAAACAAAACAAAACAAAAAAATAGATTACATACCCAGAAAAAAAATCCCACCATAAAAGTCAAATCTTTTTACTTCTCTGTAGCACATACACTCTGTTATATTTGGCATTTCCACTGTTTATTCAAGTTTCAAGTCTTCCCAAGCTGATTAGAATATTGTTTTCGATTGAAAAAGATACTCTTCTTTCTTGATATTGATTATTCTCACTCAATAGTAGTCTAATTTAGAAACAAAATGTTTTCTTTTAATGCATGATTTCGCTTAATTTTTACTTTAATGTCCTGTTTGGCAAAATCCAGACTGACTGTTCAATGTTTTGTTTTCCGTATGTTTTAAATCTAAAAATCAACTTAACGCGTGTATATGTATAATTCACACAGAGATACATTTCTCTCCTTGTCTTGTTCTCGTTGCAACACAAATTGTCCACCAGCAATTGGAACTTGAACCAAATAAAAGGTTTTCAGTCATACCATATGAAAACAGTTTCCATCACGAAAAAACACTGAGCTCTAATGCAAACAGGATTACGTTTTAAGACTAAAGTATAGGTTTAGTTCTACACAGGAAAATTTTGAGTTATTTATATAATAAAGTTTTTAAAAACTTCAGCAAAACTTGAAAAAAAAAACCCAAATGAATTCTAAAGGGTATTGTGGTGTTTTCCAGCAGTGCTGGAAAAAAGCTTTCCTGATTGCCATTTGTTCACTGCAATCTTAAATTAGTTTGAAGGAATCACTTCGTAAATGTACACATCATGTGGATCACTGTACCTTTCATTTTGGAAGTTTGGAATGTATCAGATATGCAGGCAAGATACATGCACAAAATTTTCACTGTCACTCTGAAAGCACACTGAACAATTTTCAACACTGTAGAAGTTTTTTTCTTTTTCTTTTAAAGGAACATTTCACTTGAGCTGAACACATTTCCAAGTTTTAATATGTGAATTATTGAATATATTTCAAGGGCTTTCAGCGATTCTGGTTTCAGTTCTGGAATGGTTAGGTCCGTCTGGAATGATGCAGGCAGACTAATAAGCATACGGCGTTGGCATTTTGAGGCATAGCTGTTCGACTATGCCCACGTTGGAGCTTATTTTCGGGAAGCAAGGCACTTACTGTATGGTAATGCAGACATTTATGCATAGTTTGAATAACGTAAAATAACTTAATATTTTTGATTAAAATGAGTTTTTTTATAATTTATACGTCTTTATAGAAGCAACTAAATGATCTATTTAGGATAATTAAAAATAAGAAGAGGTTTGAGAGGGAGTCATTCTCACCCCTGCTTCGGCTCTTAGGATGAAGATTTATGAAAAACACTGACAAGAATATCCGTGGTTGGATCTGGAAAGCAACAAGCTGGCCTTTTAAAACTGCTGCACCAGTGGCACCTTGACAGTCTTGACTTCTGCTATATGGGACGACTTCTGGATGATGCAGCTGGTAGTTCCTTGCAGCTTGTCTTTTCCCTGCGCAAGATTTGTTAAGGCCATGGCTGCATTAATCTCCTTCCAGTACGTGTCATCCTTGCTTGGCCCCTTTCTGTTAGCTGCACTAGAGTTAACCAGAACAGAAAGAAAATGATCAAACTCAACTGCAGTTTGCATTGAAAAGGCCACTGCTGCAAAGCACAAAATGCCAATAGAAACATCTGCTCACCTGTCACCCTTATTGGATCCATTGTCCAGCGTGTCTGTAAAGAAAAGCAAAAATTCAATTACATTTCTTTTTTTCTTTCTTTTATCTTAATCCCAGGAGGTTCAGCACTAATTACCAGAAATAAAAAAAAAATCCATCAGGAAATATAGTTGAAAATTAGTTTGTTATAAAGATAAAGCAATTTGTATTACGATGCAAAAAAAAAAATCTCTGTGCAAAGAAGCAGGAATAAGATGAGAACAGGGAACAAAGAAAAAAAGTACCTTTCATAGATACATAAAAATCTGAGGTTAATTTACTCTGAGAAGTTGTGCGTTTGCATCAGGAAGCAAACAGAACGGAGTAAACAGCACCGTCTGTCCCTGGGGCCAGGTTCCGGTCTTGCCCTAACACTCACCTGTGCTGTCAACTTTGGGCAGATCAAAATGCTCCACAATGTCTGGGATTCAGTTGCCTTCACCATAAAATACAGGCTTCCTAGAAAATCTTGACGGTGCCACTGTCTCAGTATTTTATGATTTCATGGTTATCAAACCTTCGTTTCAGGAAAAGGACTGGCAGATAGTGTCTGCGGGCTAGTTAGCAAATCAGTACCAGACCCGATGCTGACAGCAACAGGTTTCCTGGCACGTTTACCAGAAGGAGGAGGCACAGCCCTGCTCCCCGAAAGAACGCCTCCTCCTGCTGTTGCAGGAAATGAAAGCTAGGATGCTTTTGCGTACACCCTCGCCTTGGGTTTACATTTGTTTCCTCTCTCAGAACACTAATGTCTCCCAATACCACATAAATGCAAAGAAGGATGAAAATGCGTTCTTGATCTTGATTAAATTTCTCTGAGCAGCTCATCTGGCTAAAAGAATGTGGGATGAGGGACACAGAACTGGACATACTTGGGGGAAAGATGCTAAGGGGGTAGAGAGGGTCCCAGCGTGGTGTGGGAAGGGCAGGCAAAGGAGAGGGGCAGGGGCTACCCATCGGCTGTGAGATCCGAAACTAGACAGCGGTTCAGCCACGGCCACTGTCGTCGTCATCCTCCGCAACATCAGCTGACATTGCCAAGGAGCTGCAGAAGGGGGCGCTGTGGTGCGCGCGAGAAACAGGAAAAACGCAACGTTTGCTCAAGGGGCTCTTCTAGTTCTGTGGCCTCTGCCCAACAGTCTTTTCCTGCCCTCAGCCTTCTCTCCTTCTCTTACCTCCTCCAACCCAGTATTTCTCAAGGTGATTTTTATTTCCCCTCTGCAATGCTCAAGGCTACTTAGGCGGTGCAACCCAGTTTCCCATTCTGAGCTCTGAGAGTCACAGAACTAGAAGCGTTTGGAGAACAATAGCAACATGATCATAGTATAGTCCAACCAGGGCAAAACTTTCCCAGGAAGAGATGGTCAAGACAAAGAAATTCCATGACCATGGAGACGAGGCAGCTGAGCTTTGATACACTCTCTGAAGAAAAGGAATTGGGAAAACCAACCGGCTAACATATCCTGAGTCTGGCCTTAAAGTGTAGACCTCGAGGCAAAAATGGTCACTATGAGCTCTTTTCACAAGTCTTCCCCTAGCACTCTAGGGAACTTTAAAAAAAAGAGAGGCAAACAAACAAAAGCACTCAAGGAACAGGTTTTTGTTAAGAATAAATGAGATAATGTGTGTCTGGACCAAAATGGAACCACAAGTGTTAGTTCCTAGAGTCTTCTTTCATTGAATACACAGGCAGCATTTTATAAGGTTTTAGGGATTCTTTGGGGGAAATAATTGAATCCGTGAGCAGTGGGAAGGTGACCTTCTACAGCCCTGCCGGCTCCTGTGTCTGTGGCCCTTACTAGGGTTAGCCTGGATGGTCAACTACACCTCTGCTGCTTTTGATAACTTGTCAGTTATAAAAATTACTCAGGTACATGGAGGAAAAGAATGATCGTTTTTAATTTACAGAACTCTGATAATCCTGATTTACAGATCACTCACTCGTGCCAGGCACGATTCTAAGAGCTTTTGTGTCTTGACTTATTTAGTGCCAGTGACTTTGTATATGGACAGGAATGTCTCCATGGCGTCTGTGAAGTCATCCTTTGCTTCCTACTATTATGTGTAAATCTGCACTCAGGAAAGACAGAGACAAGGCGCTACCAGAACAGAGAACAAGTCAAGGCCTTTGGGAGAAGGAAAGCCAGCAACATTGGACATTTTACACAGAAAAAAAAAAATGAGTTAGGCCTTTGCTCAATTTTGCCCACAAATTGCAACAATTCTGTTGCCAAAGTGAAGCAATAGGTTATGGAGATATTTATTCAATGGAAAGACTTGGCAAAAGCAGAATAAGTTCCATGAAGCTTAAATAACGTTAGGGAAATAACAAAACATAATTTGGAAAAGACCATGTAACTGAAGCTCTGGCTCACAAACAAAGCAGGCTCGTGTATACAACGAGGACCAGAATCCGAATCCCCACCTGAACCGTCAACCTGTGTGTGTTTACTGCGCAGAAAAGAATGCCTGTGGCTATGGGTTACAGAGCCCAGCGATGCTGTTGTACCAATGCAAGGAGCCGGCGCGTGAAAGCAGCACGTGTAATTCACTGTCAGCTCCACGGAGAGCTTCTATGTACACTGAGGAGTGGACTGGTATGTCTTACAGCCCCAGGAGCGCCTGGCCGTGGCCAGCACCCCCTGGGGCTGAGTCCTTGAACTTGTTCCACTGAGAAACAAGTTTGCTGCGGCCAACTATGAAATTATAAAATTCTGCTTACTCTTGGTGTATGTGTATGACACCTTGGTGCCTATGAAAATATCTTCGAAGTGTACAAACATAGACTCTAATCTCGGGCATTCTTCATCAGTTTCGCAAATTTCAACACTGTCCTATGCAGTACTTGACAAAGCGAATTCTAATTCCACGTTTTACTTTTTAAGCTAGGTGGACACGTTCAGTTCATTGGGTATGGATTATGTTCCTTGTCAGTAAAAGAAGAAAAGTCTTCACAATAAATAATGAAGAATGGAAACATTTTGCTTCTTTATCAATAACAGTCAATGCCAAAACTGTATGTCAAAAAGCTCAATCTTAAAGATTGAAACCAACAAGAAAACGCTCACTACCACCATTTTGGGGAGTCTCTGTGTCCAGGGCGGTTTGGGTTCAAAAAATAAGTTGACGGGAGAAGGGCATGCTTTTCCTACTGCTGTTGTTGGTGGGCTGCCCACTGTCACTTGGATACTGTGCATCCGAGAGCCACCTCCCGTGGAGCTGTGTGTTCTAGTTCCCAGAAGAATCAGCAAAAGGAAGACAGCAAACAGGGCCCTTGTACTCTGACATCCTCGTGCTTTTGTAGGAAAGCAAGGACGCTAAAGATCTGGGAATTTGGGGAGATTTTCTTTCTTCATTATGCCGAGATGAAATCTGGGGAAATGTCCCAGCTATTTTAGAGAACTGGTGTCATTTGAGGGGAACTCAGAAAATCTACAATCTTCTTATTATATGAAATGGTTATGTTAAATGCTGTAATGTTATTTCTTATGCTCTTTTCCTTTGAAGTAAACACTTGCGGGCTCTTATCTGGTTCAAGTGCGTTGTGCGTTGTGTCTTTTCAGCCGACAGTGAGTATTTAAGGAGCAGCGGGTCTGTTGTACCCATCACCGGTGGTCATGGCGCTTATGACACTTCTGCCAACTGCTGACAGGTGCCCTCAGCGGCTCTGCTCCAGAAATGGCACCCAGTAGGCTGCAGAAACGACGTGACGGAGAAGGAAGGATTCTGAATGTTGCTGAAGAGAGGGAAATGTCGAGTCCAAGCACGCTCGGGCTGCAGACTCCTCCGTGCGGTTCATCAGCGTGCAGACTCGGGCCGCCTGCCCTACATTCGGCTCAGCTGGCTCAGACTCTGCAAGTAGCTTGGCTCGTCCTCCCCAGCGTCTGAGCTAAAATGCCTTTTTAGATTCTAAGGTTCCAAAAATCAGCTACGCTGTCAATTACCATAAAAGCAACTGGTTGGCAGGAACAACTTACTGAACCAGCCAAAAGAGCGTGTTTTAAGACCAAAAAAGAAAAGAAAAGAAGAGAAAAAAAAAGAGGTGCGTAGTTAGGAAAATCTTGGATGCTGTAAAACCCAAACTATGTTGAAACTTAAAGTGGGGCTATCCTCAGTTTGGACATGTGTTTCCTTATAAAGTTAAATAGAGAGACAATTATAAAGAAAACTCAGTTCTACTGCAACTCAAGATGTGTAAGCACAAAGCTCTGTGGTCCAAGTGCCCTTTCAACTTTGATAAATGCAACGTAGGAGCACACTAATTTTGATATATGTTCCTGAAGTAGTATTTGTAGCCATAAAAGGGGACAAAAATATGGCCAAATCTTTTGCTCTGAGATGATTTTTTCAAATTTAATAAATAGGCCCTAAAGTTAGGAATGTTTTTGAGTGTTTCACAATATGCTACTTACACCACTGAAATGTAAATAAAATTGAGTATTTTTAAATTAAATAATCTAAAATCATATAATACATGTTTCCCTAAATTAAAATGAAGAGTGGAAGAGAAGAAACTTTTGGAACCATGGAAAGAGAGATGAATGAGGAGGAAGTGAGAAATCATTACTGAAATAGTTCTGCCAAGGGGGGAAACAAAGGCAGACCACGAGGATTAGCAGTGGAAGGGAAAGCCACTCATATTCCAAAACAAGCAAAGAGGGCACACTCGTGCAACGAATAATGAAGTTTCAGTCAATGACAGATCACATATATGACAGCTGTCCCGTAAGATTATAATGGAGCTGAAAAATTCTTATCACCTAGTATTTACTATACTGTACTTTTTATTCTTATTTTAGAATGTGCTCCTACTTATGTATATATATAAAAGTTAAACAGCCTCAGGCAGGTCCTTCAGGAGGTATCCAGAAGAAGGCAGTGTCATCGTAGGAGATGACAGCTCCATGCCTGTTACCGCCCCGAAGACCTTCCAGTGGGACAAGACGTGGAGGTGGAAGACGGTGATACTGATGATCTTGACCCTGTGTAGCCTGGGCTATTGTGTGCGTTTGTGTC